CTGACATCTTCCCACTTCTTCAAAAGATCTTTAGTAGCAAATATCGGCATTAATCCTCTTTTTCAGAAGAAAACATATCTCGCCGAGTTTCTTGGTGTTCTTCATTCAAGAGTTTTTGACGTTCTTTTGTCGTCAGATCCGTTTCAGGTTCCATTATGAACTCTTCGATGTTCTTTAATTCTCAGATGTGACTTTTGTTACTCCTTTAGCTGCTTGAGTCTTCTTGATTATACAGTATTTTTCTTAAATAAGATTGAACTACGGCCTACTGTAGACCTATTCACGCCATACTGCCCAACAACATTAGGCATCTTCTGCCCACTTTCTACCTTTGCTATTATACTCTCACCTGTTGAAAAGAAAAAAAAAACAGACGCAAAACTTAATTTGTGCCTACCCGACAGTCTCGTGGATACATAAAAGAATTGTTTTGTCAGAAAAATAAAAGGCTGGAATTACAAGGGAGAGTTTCAAAGTTCGGAGGAATACTATCCGATCGGTATATACCAGCTTGAGCGTCGATGTCGACGTCTCCCGCACTCCGAAAAGTTTCGAATTGTTGCCCGAAGACAAGAGAAGGAAGACCAATCGGTATTCATTATTTTACGTCGCTTCTTCTTGTGTTCGTTCTGTGCGGTGTTCGTTGTCCGAACACAAAAATCTTTCGCGAAAGTGTTCGTTATCCGATCTGTTCGTTAACCGATCACCCACTGTATTGTGCAATAGTTAGTAATAATCCTGACATTCAGTTTAAAACCCTATTTATTGTCTGTTTTATAATTTACAGTTAGTCCACAAATATTTATAACAAACCACTTTGTTATAAATCTCTCCTTTTTTTATACAAGAAAGTTTACAATCCTAAAGATAGCAGCTGTTTTTTTATTTGACCATTCATTCAATACTATTGATTTTTTTGACCATTTATTCAATCCAATCATTTAATACTATTGTTAATGGTGAAAAATATGTGATGCAATTCTGCATTACTGTATTTTACAAATAAAATTTTAGTTATGTTTCTTGAAAATAGGAAATATTAATGTACTCTTTCAATTACAACTTCAATAATTATATTAGGAATTACTATTCACACTGTATGTTCTTTAATAACCCAAGTAACTGTAAGATAACCATTAGATGAGCAACTTACATTGATAATTTTTATGACTAGTGTAATTAGAATTTTTAATCTATTAGCTATTTATTAAATTCATTCAAGTCATCAGTAGTTTCTTTCTGCATAATTTATAATAATAAAATTTTCAGTTGTCTGGTTCATTTACTTTTGTTGCCATGTTATTTACTTTTATTTACTGTTCATTTACTTTTGTTGCCAGTAATGCAGAATTGCATCACATATTTTTCGCCATTAACAATAGTATTAAATGATTGGATTGAATAAATGGTCAAAAAAATCAATAGTATTGAATGAATGGTCAAATAAAAAACATGCACTAACTTTTAATACATCTGTGAGCAACATTTGATGTCAAACTTTGTTTAGGGATGAATTGAATATTTAGTAATATCGTCTCAAAATATATTTTTTAATGATCATTATTATATAAAATAAAAGCTATTATATTTTATAAAAGAAAGTGTGATATTTTTCCATTTTTTAACTTAATCACTAATGGTTATTAATATATCTAGTGATTGAAATATTAATTTTTCCTATAGTGTTTTAATTTTTAATTGTAGAGCCTTGCTAGATTTATCTGGAGCGGAACTATTTCTAGTTAGTTTTTCTCAACCACTTTACACAAATCAGATAATTGAAAATTCAATATGATGATTCATTTACTAAATTATTAATAATATGGAGAATACTCTTTTTACTAATATTTAATGTTAAGTCTTTTCAAAGTACAATAATAACACAAAAATATCCATCAAATAAAACTTTATAATTTAAAGAAGAAATAAATTCAGTATTATATTTTTCCATTCTATGATGGATAATTTTTTACAATATTAATTCTTATGTATATTTTATAGGTAATTATATTTTCACTGTTCCTATTTTCTCAAGCATAATGAATTAAATGACACAAACTATTTTGAATAAATGGATATTGTGCAATGATAAAGTGCATTTACAAGTAATAAAATATGAGAAACTTACCACTTTAATTAAAATATCTACCAGCTGTATCTATACACTTCTTTTGGCAAGTAACAAGATCCAAATTGTATCCAAAAAAATTTGTGCACGCTGAAAATGGAGAAAAACAATGTAAGAATTAATCATAGGAAATTGTATAACAATAATTCAAAACCTAATTTAATTGATTAAAGCTAAATAATCTGCCAAATTATTTTCAGGCTATGTTAATAATTATTTACCAATTAATTTGACTAGAAGTAGGCAGACATGCTACTCTCTCATATTAATTTGTAATCTGATTCTTAGTGATTATCATATAGGTTCCACTTTTCATTGCAATATTAAAATGCAATAAAAAAAAAACTATCACTTTTTTGTATTTTCAGGAAAGAACTGCACTTTGCCATGTGGTTTGCTTTATTTCCATCTCTCAGTTCATGGGACATCCATTTATCCAACTTTTTGACTTCTCTAAGGCATTCAAATATATAAGTACTATTGAATAATGAACATGCAGTTTAGCAGATTTCCTGAACACTTAGAGTGGTTCAGTGGTTGTCAACCATTTCATTCAGATGGCCACATTCTCATTTTCAAGCTTGTGTTTTCTGCATTTGGAATCAACATTGTACTGCTCTTTTGCTTGCTATTTCCTGTTCAAATGCTGTATTAATGTTTAGGCTGTTTTGGCTGCATTATGTCTCAGCTTGAACTCAATGGAAATCACATAAATTTGGCTTGACTACATAGTCATCATTAAAGCACATTTATAAACTTCTCATATGACAATGAATGAAATTAGTGAATGCTGCACATAAGTCATTTCATCTATTTTATATACAATAATGTTATAATGATCAAAATACCTAAATCAAGTTCTTGAAAACAATGAGATGAGAATTTTTTGTAATTGAACAGTTTCAATTGTTGCATTAAAATACTCCCATGTTTTTGGAATTACTTTGAATTAAGCCAAATAATAAAATGTTTTTATGTAGGCTATGAAGAAGTGAGTTTACTATTAAAAAAATCAAATTGTTTGGCATTTATCTGGCATAGTTTNTTTTATATACAATAATGTTATAATGATCAAAATACCTAAATCAAGTTCTTGAAAACAATGAGATGAGAATTTTTTGTAATTGAACAGTTTCAATTGTTGCATTAAAATACTCCCATGTTTTTGGAATTACTTTGAATTAAGCCAAATAATAAAATGTTTCTTAGTAGTGTAATAAGAAGTGATTTACTATAAAAGCAAACATAACTACATAACATTTATCTGGCATAGTTTAAAGATTAAAAAATATAATAAAATACTAAAAACCTATTCAAAATGGAAGCCTGCCAAAACAGAAGAAAGTATTCAGTACTGCACAATTCCAGTTTATACAGGTTTTACTGTATTAAAAGTTATTGCTTTTAATTTCAGCTGAAAAATATGTATAAATTTTTTATTTTATATGCTGCATTTAAGTTGTGTGCCTGCAGGCATGTATATTGTAGTGTAATTATAGTATGGAAACATAGTGTGTGACCTTTTGGCATCATCAAAAATTAATTTTAAAAATATTTTTTAATTTAAATTCATTTTATCCGTGTTGAAATCATGTCCTCCTTTAAATTATACTTTGAGACCACCATGAAGCGTTGATACTAGACACGACTTCTTCACATCCACTTTATTTTCTGGATAAAATTACTGTAAAATAGAATAAATAAAGATGCAAATTATAAATGTGTAGACACATATATGCAAATTATTTAGTGTGGAAGTGCAGTTTGTGGGATGATTTGCAGAGTGCTAAACTTGTGCAAGTATATGGCTACTGTCCAATGGTATGTGCAATATTATTGGTACTGTATTCAATGTAAAAATGGAACTCTGCAAGTAATTTATATAAAATTTGCATCAAGGTATGAAAGATTTTTATTGGAAAATTTAGTATTGTATTGTTTTAAAATTTAATGTTGTATACTTTTAGGAATTTTTAACTGGTTTACAATACACAGTAGTGTTTGGTTTTATGTACAGTACATCAGCAATAGATTTAAAATCACTGTAGAAAACTTATATCAGATATGTCTAAAAATTCAAACCTTTGTAAAATGATATTTTGCTAATATTATGTTCTAATAAATATTGTTAGCCAACAAATGAGAGGCACTAGTCCAAAACATGTATTGGCATTTGGAACAATTAGTTTAAAGACTGTAAAGTACAGTACATAAGAAAATAAAGGGGATGTGAAAAAGTCCAGTGTCTAGTATCAACACTTCATGGTGTCTCAAAATATAATTTAAATTCAATTTTTAAATAAAATTTTAAATACAAATAGATTAAAAATTGAAAATTTGTCAGACTATAAAATTAAAAGTGAATTCCTTAAGTTAAATGATTAGAAAATTTTAATTTTTATAAAAATAATTAGTCAGACCTAGCTATAATGCTTTCCTAAATATTACCATTCTTACAAAGTATTGATGAATGCTTATGAATGGATCTTCACAAATATTAAATAGAGAATTCAGTATTTGTGAATTAAATGTGTGATTTTTGCATTTCAAATGACTCCATGTTATGTGACTTTCAAATTCTCAAACTTAAATTTGTATTGATAAGTAGACCTCATTACTATATATAATTATTCTTGTTCGAAGTACTTCAGTTTAATACCAATTTTGGCATTAAAATAAGATAAACAAATGGTAGCATTAATTAAAATTTTGCTAGGTATATATTTTATATAGATATATATTAGTATTAATTTTTGTCTTGCAGAATAATTAATGAAAGTAGAACTTAAATAACAAAATCAATTGCTAAAGATATAAACTTATTCTTATAAATTTATGCTGGGCAATAAAAAAAATACTGTTTTTATTTTAGTGATGAATGAACAGCGTGAAGCAGGAGATGGGGAAGAAAGTCCTCCAAACCCATCAAGTCAACATTGGCATCCAAATGAAGAATATATGAAAGTTTTAATTGGAATGGGTGTGAGCAGAAATGCTGCTGAAAAAGTAATATAAATGTTTTTTTTAGTTATAAAGAAAATTTTACTTTAATCATTTTAATTATTTATACCAAAAATTAACTATTTTATATATAAATAATAAATTGTGTGATACCAATGGCATTAGTCAGTTGATTGCTAGATAAAGTCTACTACAATGAAGAAATCCACATTCAAATCCATTTCATATTTATAATTTAGTTTAGATTGGAACATTCCTCGTCTAAGCTGTTATGGCCAAGTCTATGGTATAATTGAGACTGGTTGTTTATTCTGATATTACAATGATAAATTCAGTACTTATAGTAGAACATTGACATATGAGTTTGAAATTATTTTTTAATTATTTATTATGTGAGGAGCCAAGGGCATAGAATTGATCTATGTCACTTACGGGCACACAATTGCAAGATTGGCTCACTAAACTTTTTCTAGGAGGGCTTTTTATAATGTTTAAAGAAGGATCTAGAGGATGAATCCTAGATCTCGTCAGGATAATGATACCAGTTAATCAGATTTATTCTACGCAGATTAACACGCATATCGAGTTGAGAAGGAGATGATGAAATATGTTTGATTCAGATGACGTAGGAGACATTTGTTCAACAATAACAACAAAAATTTAATAAGCAAATAAAAGGAGGTTATACAAAATTGAATCCTCTAATAAGACTAATGATTGAGAGAGAGAGCTCACAATTTCTGTCAAAAATCATACTACCTTAGACATTTCTATATTTGTCTTCTTGTATCTTTGGTTCTGGAGGAATGTTTTTTCTTATGTTCTGTAGCGGCACATAAATAAACCTTTTTCTTCAATGTATTTTCCGACTTAATAATTCATTTAGGAGACTTCAGGAATCGGCTATGGGTGTTGGCCTTTGGAAGCTTATGTGGAATACATCCTTCTCCTCTCGAATTTTGTGGCGTACTCCCCGAATGATACAAAATTCTTTCTGTTTCTAACGAATTTTCACCAATCAGCATCTCGCATTTTTCCACATAAACAGGAAAAAGGGGATTTTACTGAAGGGTTGACAGTTTCCAGGGTGACTAAAGTTTTTAGGAGATAAGGGAAAACCAAAAGGATGTTCAACTTCCATTAAAGGAAGTGACTTTTACCAGTTTCTTTCGTTTTAGAAAATATTTTCCCACCAAAATCATAGAATATTTTCGTCAAAAGTTTTTCCATCTCAATTAAATTTTTAATTAATCACAGGAGTGATTTGCATCTCACAATGAAGGTTCCACAACTGTATTAAGCATACTGGGAAAAATAAACAAAATTGTTTAGTTTTGATTTAATCAGGTAATTAATTTTATTTATATAATTAAAAGTCAAAACTGTAAATTATAGTTACCTAATAATTTTTCTTGCTTAATGTGAATTTTCTAATTGGACTGCAGTTTTCAAATTGCTGACCTATACATTCCCACTGTCATTTGTCTGCTGTCTTTCAGTCCAATTTTTAAAAGTATTCATAAACTATTGATTGATTTTAGAAAAGTTCACACATAAACTATTGAAAATTATTTAACATTGACATGAAGATAAATATGTAAATATAAAAAGAGATTGCATTATTAAAAAAAATGTTTTATGTAGGAAAAATCTTTCAAATCAATTTTAACTATTTTCAATAGGCTTTATTTTATACTGGTAATAAATCTCCAGATTTGGCTGCAGCCTGGATATTTGAAAACCAAGATATGGATCTTGAAACACCTTTAGAGGTAATAAGTCTCTTTTATTTATATTATTATATTAAGTGATAATTAGAAGCACTGAATTTTTAAACTGAAGTATGAAAATGTGTATTTAAATTAGGCAGAAGCTGGACACATTAGTGATAATGACATAGAAACAGCTGATGCGTATAAAATGGTGTTTGTAGTTAATATGGCATTAGAAATGGGAACTGGTAAAATAGCATCTCAAGTTGCACATGCTGCATTAGGAATTCATAGATTATTGCTACAAGATGAGAATAAATATGGAGATATGGTTTTACAATGGGAAGAACTTGGGTAAGATATTTGAAAATTAAATTTCAGTTTATTTTTTTAATTTAAAATTATGTATTATTTAATAGTGAAATCAAGATTGTGTTGAGAGGTGACAGTACTCAACATTTGGTTGAATTAGAAAGATTAGCTATGTCAATGAATTTACCTACCTACTTAGTTCAAGATGCAGGAAGAACACAAGTAAGTTAAATCAATAATAATTGAGATTTTAAGGGAATATATTTAAAAAAAAATTTAATTAGTATTAGATATTTATATGAAACTTCTGGTGTTAAGTTAATATATTTTAGAAAAAAACAATTTTAGAAAGCTCACAAAAATATGCAAGAACTTTCAACAGTAATCTATTGTGTCATCTTTCAAGCATTCAAATTTGAATGTTGCATGGGTTTTTAAGGTAAAGTAGTTGTGTTTGACCAGAATTGCAGTTTGAAATTATATGGAATGATGAGATAAACTAAAAATTCAAATGAGATGTGGCTGTGTTTGAACAGAATATGTAACCATGATGATTTCTGTAATACGCTTCTTGTCTAGTCTTGTGTTCAAATATACTTAGCTCTATGACGGCTTTTCCTTTTTCACTAGACCTATTACACCATCACTCAGGAAGAGGACAAACTTTAGAAAATCATATCTTTATTTCCCTGAGTATGCATTTTGGACATGATGTTATTTAAATACAAAAACAAGTTTCTGGAATTAAAGAATTACAAAAGTGTACAGAAATAATATATTAAAAAGTCATTACAAAAAATATTAAAGCAGCTAATTAGAAACAATATTATTGAAAAAGAAGAAATGAATATGATTTTAGAAGAAAACAATAAAACAGTGCAGTTTAATATAAAAATAAAAACACACAAACCTCAATGAATTATAGGCCTTTAATAGATATTAAAATTGTTTTATACAGTTTAGAAAAATCTGTTGTTATGCTTTCAACAGAATAATAAATATTGCTCTACTGTCTTATCAGTATTTTCATAAGACATACTGATGACTTTTTTCATCACTCAAGGCTGCTCTTGTTTCCTATTTTTGAGCATGCTAAAAAAGGCAGGTAATCGCACTAGAACATTACTCCCAGGGAAATCCCCACCATCAATCACATGCTGCTTTATTCATTTATTTAATGAAAGCTGGTCTGCCTTTTTTAAAGGAGTATTTGCAGAAACCATCATACTGACTGGAGAGGAGATAATCTACTTTTACTGCCTGAAAAAAAGGATGTGCACTCTATCACAAGAACTATTAACTAAAATAACAGTAACTTACTATTCAAAATTCATTTTCTGTTAATGAATAACCTTAACGGAACTTGTAGCCAAAACAAAACAAAAATAAAAATATTTGGATATTTGATATGCAATGATGCCCATAAATAGTAGATGCAGTGGTTGTGTTTCTAGAAAATTTTGGTAACAATGAATTCATTAAAAATGTGTGAGTTAAAATTGACTGAATTTTGCTTCCAACAACAAAAAAAAAAAGTGTTTTGAGCACTTGATGATATTGAATTTTTTTTGCAAATTGTGAAAAAGGAGTGTCTTTATCCATAACTGACTATCAAAGATTGTTTTATTCATTCTTGACCACCCAAAAATTTAATTTAATCTCTTTTTATTCCCAGAACTTCTTTCTTTTTATACTCATTCCTCATCCAATAAAGGAAGTTACTGAATTGCTGTTCTCCAATTATAATTTTGTTTTTCTTTCTCTTTTGGAGAACGATGATGATGAAAAAGTTATCAGGAATATCTTTCTTTGAGAGGAGGATGTTCTGGTTAGTCAGATGGTGGGTGAATGTTAAAATATTGTTACTTTTAGAACAAAAGTAACAATATTTTTTTTATAGGAAGTTTTAGGGAAAGAATTTAGCTTTTGTTATAAATTTCTTATATTATATTAAACTTTTGAATTCTCACAATGCTTACATAGTATTCTTCTTTTGCATAATTAAGTATATTAGTATTTATTATATTTGAATTACTTATTTATTGGGATTTTCATTTTTATTTTCAGGTTCCTGAAGGTTCCACAACTGTATTAAGCATACTGGGAAGGATTGATCTTGTAGACAGGGTTACAGGTGCACTCCGATTACTTTAACAATCAAAATAAATTATTGGTTTTATATACAATTTACTTGCAAAATTTCCAAAATTATTAAGTTAGATACATTCTTCAGATATATGGTAATTATCTAGTGATTATAAAAACTGTAAATTGTTTTAGGATACCTAATGAAATTTTCCTAATGAAAATATTAATACTCAAATATATGATAATATATTTTATATTACATTAATACTTGTTAAATTAATTTACATTGTTGAATATTAAAGTTAAATGCTTTTATTTTGTCTTTTCCAATAAGCTTAAATAAATAATGTGATAAGCTTCAGCTTAAAGCTTGATTGTGGATATTAAATATGCTGTCATTTTTTTACACAAAATTTTGGGCTTAAGATTTTATTATATTGTTGTGCATATCTTTTAATTTTATTTAAAGGTATTTATTTAATTTGTTTATTTTTTGTGGAAAATTTTTTGTAATATTTATTAATATATTACACATTTTAAATATGGGAAAGGTTTCCTTTTTTTTTACTTTAAAATTAACAATTTTATATAAACTAATTTTAAAAATTTATGGTGATTCAGAAAACTTTCTCATAATAAATAATTATAGAAGTTTAATAATTTTATTTTAATGATTTTACTCTTTAAAATAAACTTATTAATTTAAAAAGTTTTTGGAAAATTAAAATTATTAACTTATTAAAAACAAGAATGAAATAGGTTTTTAATTAAAGCTCTGAAAAAGTACATTGATTGTCTTGCTTGCAAATAAAATTAATTCTCTATTAATAACAATATTACATGGATTATCTATTGAGAGAAATACACTGGCATGCCAAAAAAATTAGAAACCCCAGTTTAATAGTGTGTTACTCCATCTTTTGTTTTATAACTGCATTGACACATCCTGAGAGAGAGAGAGTTCACAAGATATTGCAATTGAGGCACCATGGAATGCTATACTCTCCATAGCAGTACCAAACCATAAAATTCCTCAAATTAGCATGAAGGTTTTTTCCAAATGGCTTCCAGCAACATTCCAGAGATATTAAATGGGATTCAGGTCAAGATACCTAGAAGGATAAACAATGACACTGAAATATATACAATGTTCCTCCAGCTGTATCTGAATTATGTGGAAGTTATTGTCCTGTTGAAAAAATCATTACTGTCCAAGTATAGAGCTGTCATGAAAAGGGTGTATATGATCTGCAAGGATGTCATGGTAGCTGTTTCGTCACCAATATTAACTGCATGAAAGTATGAATAATCACCAAATTAAACATATCTCACATGCTTGCACAATCCATAATTGACATGACAGTTCCATAGCTTCATAAAATTTTCTCCGGATACAAATCAACCCATCAGCATGAAACAAGTGAAATTTGGACTCATCTTACCAGGAAACTCCTTAACAGTCTTTATCTGTCCAGTGGCAGTGTTCTCCAGTCCTGAATAGCTTATGGCACTGTTTTAAGCTGTTAGTAGGGATCCAATAGTAGGACAACTGCTAAATCGTGGCATGGTTATAGACCTTTGCAACGATGGCTACAATGCACAAGCATTAAAATTGGTTATGGCCTGGAATAATGTGATCTAATTATTGTTGTTTACAATTCATAGCAGGCAATGGAGGCCTCAGATATCAGCATGAAGTTTCTGTTTACAAGTACATACAACCTCAGAGATAGTAGCCCATCTGTTTTGCAGCTAATATATGTCCACAATAAAAGTCACTGAAGCCATTTTTTTTACTCTTGTTGATATAAGTATTTTACTGTGCTTTATATAGTTTGTTATCAAATTAGTATGGATCAATGGATAGCTCAAAATCTATAGTGGTGGCAAGTAATAGTACAACATATGGAAGGTATTTCTATTTTTTTGACATGTCAATGTAGATTACAATCAATTTAAATTATATTTTTATTAATATTAAATTTTATATCTTGGCATTATAGATTTACTTAAATTTTACAAACGAAATTTATTTTAACATTTTGTCAATAATAAACTCTAACTTAAGAATATTTATAACAATATGTCTTTATAAAAACATTATATTCATTGTCATTATTTTTCATAACAAATATTAATTCCACATTATATCCTTATAAAATTAAGATCAGGATCAAATATACATCATATAAAATTCAGTAAGGATTATATTATTATAATGTATTGAGAATATAACATTAATTTCATTCTGTATTCACTAGTCCTTTACGAACAACATGATTAAATGAAAACACAAATTATTGTCATATTTCATCAATATAAAACAAAATGTCTAATATCAATGTTTAACTGATGGTAGGAATCTTGATAAATTAATAAGATATTATTTATTTATAAATTTATTAATAAATAAATAAATAATACACTTATGTAGTCCCAAGTTAAATTGTTCATAAGATTCTTTTTAATTTAAAATATTTCTGTAAAATTTGTCTTAATCCTCAAATCATGAATTTGGATGCAAAATTACATCATATAAATTTTTAATGAAATGCAAGAAATTTCAAAAATCTGAATTGTCCAATTCTCAAAGTAAGAAATATAAGCATTAAAAAGAATAAGCATTTAAAAAAGTAACACTGTTTTATATACATAAATGACTTTATTATATGCATTTCATGTAATATAAAATAGTCCTGAAGTAAACAAATGATAAGCCATTTTATTTTTACAAAAGAAAATTCAGAATATTATTTTTGCAATATTAATTGAAGAACAAACTATTACAAAAACTTATATTCTGTATTTAAAATATTTATTTTGCTGTAAAGAAACAAATAAAATAAGTGATAATTAAATTTAGTATTCTCTGTTTTCCATTAAGAACATCAATAGGTTCGTTTTTGAATTTATAGAAAGTTTATTTTTTTACAAACTATAGAGATCCTCTGGTACTCACAGTTTAATATTTTTGCATAGAACTAAACAAATAATGATTCCAGCAGGGGAGTTAGGTAATTCAACACATTTTGTAAATTGTTCAAACAATCTGAAACATTACTGACTAACTAGAGAGGTTGCGGCCAAAGTTTTCATTTCTAAAACATGAACGTTGGGCGTCACCATCTTGTAAGCCTAGAAGTTTGACAATGGCATTTGGAACATTGAGCATGATTTCAATGACATTCCAAATGTCATTGTCAAACTTCTAGGCTTACAAGATGGCAGTGCTCAATGTTTATGTTTTAGAAATGAAAACTTCAGCTGCAACTTCTTTACTATCTCATCATTAAGGTATGTACGGTTTGTGACTTTTCCACATTCAGCCACATCCTAAAGCTTACATCAAACTTCTCTTCTGAAGTTTTCAAGTGCTTCAAACTTCCAATGACTGACTTTCCAAAGTTTCTCTTCCTCCCTATGGGCCTCCTTTTCTAGGATTGATTCATTTAACAATTTTAAATCTAAAATAAACACAAATAACCAATAACAGTTGATCTGGTTTAGGGCTACTGTTTATGTCCTAAATTGAACTTTTGAAATTCCACCACCAGTTTATTCCAAAATGTACAACAACATTTGCTTTAGTTGTTGAGATTTTAATTATCATTTAGTTTACTTTTGATAGAAGAAAATTATGCATAGGGGAAGTTTGCCCAGACCAGAGAGTCCTCTTGATGACAGATTTGTATTGGTTATCACCAAGACTGTTCAAGTAAGACATGCAAGCCAAGGTTTGACTTTGTCATCACCACAGTATGGAAGAAGAAATTGGTGTGTGAGATGCATAAAGTTTTGCCTCTTGTGCTGACTCTGGACTCTGGCAAAATTAAATACCAAGTTGTTTTATGGGAGGGTAGAGGCACTCATAGTGGGTACCCTACTCTGAACTCTGAAAGGAGCCTGGGGTGTTTACCCAAATATTTTTATAGTTAGTATTTTTAATATTTAACTTAACATTAATATTTATTTCTATAAAAAAATTAATTTTTAACAAATATTTAAGAGGAGAAAGGGGGCGATAAAATTCTACATCTACATATATTCGATAGCATATGCACTTCAATTTCACCCTTCCAGAAGAGTTAGTTCAACTAAATGTGCAATCTAGCTAGCTACTTCAGCCCCTTGTTCAGAAAAGAAAAATACTGTATGTACTCTGATCAATTAGTCTGGCTCATTCAAAAAAATAGAGTACTTATTTAGAGCAGGGATAATAAAGGAATGATTCAAAAATATTCAAATTCAATTGGGTCAAAATAATTTAACTACTAAACACAAATACTACAAANTTTTTTTTTTTTTTTTTTTTTTTTTTTTTTTTTTTTTTTTTTTTTTTTTTTTTTTTTTTTTTTTTTTTTTTTTTTTTTTTTTTTTTTTTTTTTTTTTTTTTTTTTTTTTTTTTTTTTTTTTTTTTTTTTTTTTTTTTTTTTTTTTTTTTTTTTTTTTTTTTTTTTTTTTTTTTTTTTTTTTTTTTTTTTTTTTTTTTTTTTTTTTTTTTTTTTTTTTTTTTTTTTTTTTTTTTTTTTTTTTTTTTTTTTTTTTTTTTTTTTTTTTTTTTTTTTTTTTTTTTTTTTTTTTTTTTTTTTTTTTTTTTTTTTTTTTTTTTTTTTTTTTTTTTTTTTTTTTTTTTTTTTTTTTTTTTTTTTTTTTTTTTTTTTTTTTTTTTTTTTTTTTTTTTTTTTTTTTTTTTTTTTTTTTTTTTTTTTTTTTTTTTTTTTTTTTTTTTTTTTTTTTTTTTTTTTTTTGAGAGTAGGGATGAGTATAGCATTTACTCATACCTACTGTCAAAATTCAGCTTTTTGCCATTTTATAACTGGACTGCAATTTGAAAAAATTGTCTCTGTTCATCCGTTCTTAATCTTGAGAATGGTGTTAGATAGAAGTCAAGACCAGATGAGGAAAGTTTAGGGGGAGGAGGACCCAATTAACTATATATGAACTTCTGGTTTACACCAGAAGTCATTTGATTTCAATTCAAAAATTTTTCCCAGAATGGAGTTATGTAGATGACTCTGTTATCAGGAAAAGTATGGTATACAGGGCAAGACACTACTAATTCAAGATTAAGAACCTATATTTTAAATTAATTAAATAAATAAAAAATTGTAACAATACCAGCAATTATGCTTCTCTTATAACCTAAGGTTTCTGCTATCTGCATAATCCTTTTGATCTGAAAAATTATAGCCTGACATCGTGACATTCAGAATAATTTTTGCTCATTAATAATATGAGATTTTTTTATAACAGCTGGGAAAGTTATGCAACTCATTGCTAGATTTTTATTTTTGTGATGATAGGTTGCATTTCTCCATCACTGAATTATTTGGCTCCTTTTCTCTCAAATGTTTATGAATAAGCATTTGAGAGAAAAGGGTTTTTGTCTAAAGTATAGATTTAATTTCACATAAACTTTCATTTTGAACATGAAATATTTAAAAGTCAAATAGTCATTTGGTTAGCTTTTCTTGTAAGATGGTCCATTACAAGAATCTTACCAATTGTATATGTGGAGATAACAAAATGTCACTAATATTAGGATATGCTACCATAAAAATCCATTGATCTACAAATTAAGGAAAGACAAAGGTAGGATAGGTGTTCCAGGTATATAGGATCCCCTATTAACAACAGATTTGACGTTAATTTGAGTATGTAGGAACCAAAAGCTATTTACTTATACAGCAAGCTAAAGGAGCATAGATATACCAATAACAAGAAACACCTGCTGCGGTTCCATAGTATAAGTTAGTCTGTATGACACACAGCTAACACAACCTACATATCCCATACAGTAACTTGGCAGGTTAAATATTTCTAGTGGTTCCAATCCTTTCCTAAAAATATTTAATTCACTAGTTGAGTTGATATGGACCCATCTCTACAATCTGGAAACTGTATTTTGACATCCTGTACTTAGAATATGAATGTAAATGTCCAAATAAGTATCTTTATTGTTTTTCTTTTATGTATTTCCATTATTTTTGTAAATATAGTATTAGATCATTTAGTTTAATTCTCTTAACCCGATTTTTGTTATACTAGTTGCTTGTCCAAATGTAGTTCAAAATGTTTGTGTTCCATTTTGTTTGTAGTTATCTGAAGAAAGCTTTTCAATTAAAGCTTAAAATGTTTTGTTTTATTCAGAGCTGTGGAGTCAGTCATTAAATATCTGCCGAGTCCAACTCCATTTTACTTTCCCAACTTATTATGTATATAAAATGGAAAAGTATTGGAATCATGTCAAATTTGGCACTCCAAGTTTTTTGCAAATTACACATTTGGAGACCTGAGCCCAAAAAATGTCAAGCAAAGAGGGAAATTTGTATGTGTTGGCATCTAATTTTTTTTAGTTTCTTTATTCTGTTCTGAGATATTGTTTCAGAATGGGTAAAGTTTAAGAAACAAAATTTGGCATGATAGCTTGTGTAAAAAAGGGTCATTAATCCTATTAAATTTTGGTTATTAATTAAAGATCAACAGGGTGGAGACATAGAAGTGGTCATGTGTTGTATCTCCAGTGTGGTTGAACTTAATATTTTACTTGTTATTAGCATTCTCAATTTTTTAAAAAACTTGTCTCTACCCTCAAAATTAAGCTTTTTGTCATTTTATATTATTACAGTAAAACCTGGTTAAGATGTTCTCTTCTCATAAGTCATTCAAATTCTGCAGTATCTTCATTTTCCCCTTAAGCCAAGGGTGGCCAATAGTTTTTGCCCCCGGCCAGATTGGAAAGAAAAATTTTTCCACGGACCAAACCAGAGGTTGCCCTAGGAAGATTTTGAGGTGGTGCGAGATCTCATTGTAGTATCACCCCGTAGAGACTGAATTGTAGATAGAGATTACAGATACATTTCTCACATTATCATGCTTTATCAACACACTACACGCTGTACTTAAGAGATTTTTAATGGAGGGTTAACTCTAAATGCACGGTGAGTTGTTGACTTTTTTTTTTTTTTTTTTTAGGCGTCAGAATTTTTCATCGAACTATTTTGAAAGATTGATCGCAGGCCACATAAATTCATTAGACGTATGTTGGCCATGCTTGTCTTAAGCAGTGCGTCAAAAGATGTCACCAGGTTGGGAAAAATTTACACGGTCCTCGGGAATGATGGAAAAAGTTGTGGAATGAAGTCCGGGTTCCTCTGAATCCCAGGCCTGGGAAATTTCACCCCATCATCCTTGTCAGTCATGCCCGTAAGATGCTTGTGAAAAATTCCTGCATAAGATGTTTCCTTGTGAGATGTTACAAAGTATCGATTCCTTGAAACAATTTTTACCCTCTTAAAATGATAACATTGATGATTGTTTTAAGAGAGTAAAAAGTGTTTCATGGAATCGATACTTTGACTATAGGATTTCAAACAGGGTGAACAAAATTGTGTCTCACACATACACATTTTAACATCCATACATACAAAAAAAATCCCTAAATCTTTTGCATATCTTGACATTTCAAGTTCTCGAGTCTTTAAATGTAAAAATTTGGGAATAATGATTTTTTGACCGATTGCTACACTTTCCCTCTGTTAGATATAACAGCTGGGAAAGTAAAAATTATCAAATATGTTTGATAATTTTTACTCTAAGTAAATCTAAGTAATGATATAGTCAATATACAGTCTTTTAATTTTAAAATAAAAAAGTTTCTATGTTCAGTAGAGTTCTAATAATAATAGCAGCTTTTATTATGAGGTCACATCATATCAAATTCCTGGGCCCATTTTGTTAACAAGCCTGTGGTTGGAGTCGGTATATTTTTACATGACTCCACAGCCCTGGTTTTATTAAATCTTCATTTGATGGAAATTTAAAGTTGTCAGTAAATTTGTTTACCCACAGCAGTATATACTTAATCCATATTTATTCCAGATTTTACACCTGTCTGTCCCATTATCTTTGATTTAAATGGCAATAAGTAACTACTTGTATATAAAACATATTTATCATCATCATCTGAAAAAATAATTTTTTAAAGTTGATTTCAGGTTTATATTAGAGAGGTTGCGGCCAAAGTTTTCATCTCTAAAACATGAGTGTCGAACACTGCCATCTTGTAAGCCTAGAAATTTGACAATGGCATTTGGAACGTTGAGCATGATTCCAACAATGTTCCAAACACCATTGTCAAATTTCTAGGTTTACAAGATGGTGGCACTCAACGTTTGACATTCACGTTTTAGAGATGAAAACTTTGGCCGCAACCTCTCTATTAACATATTTAATGAAATTTAAGTGCACTGAAGTTAAAAAATGATTTTTAAAGAAAGGAAGTGACTACATTGATATATCTTTTTTAACCCATTATTCAATTAGAACAAGTTAAAAAAATTAAATGAACTGAAAATAAAACTAGAATTTAAAATTGCATTGTCATTCTGACTAAGTTACTGCCATACAAATGACTGTTGAACTGATTTTGGAGTATTTCACATTGAAGAGCAATTATCATAATTTAAATAGATAATATAACTGTGCAATTACTGAATTTATTATTACTGATATACAATGAAAAATAAATGAAATTATATATGTTTTGTGTCACAAACTCTTCTGGTGTGCCACTTTGAGCAAATGTTCCATCTCTGCCTTATATCTTTGGTTGTTATGCTGTTCAAAACTATTTTTATATACGACATATTTAAATATTACTTTTATAGTTGTTGTTATCTTTTAAAAGTTGTCCTGAACTTTTCTAAGTATAAAACTGGATTAATGATGTTTATTAAGAGATAAATTTATTAACAAACATTTTAGCTATCAATTTCATTGTACAATTTAAATAGAAATGATAAGTTAATTATTTTTTAATAGTAGAAGTTGATAGAATAGTTATATGACATTAGTTTTTTTAAAGCCATTCTATGTACTGTACAGTGTTTAGAGGTTATAAAGTTAATAAGAATTTCAGGATCGTTTGGAGCTTATTTGGCAGAAATTTATCTGCGAGTTAATCGTTTTTGCAGTTTTATGTTGCTGATTGCAGGGAAAAAAGAACGTAAATAGAAACCAATAATATTCAAATATATGCTATTTATTTCTGATGTGATATGATCTGTACATAAACTGGAAAAGTGATTTTTTTTTTAATATTTTATATGTGTTGCACACAGTTCATATAAATACGTTATTTGTATTGTTTTGTAGACGTAACGGTATGATTTTCATATACAAAAATTTCACTTGGACAAACAAACAATCATAAATCTTTCGTCTGAGTTCTACATGCTTCTTTACATTTCACAAACATTCCTTTTAATTCCTTGCTATTCAATCCAGATATGCAACTGAGTTTGATTAATCCTGCTTGACTGGCAGAAACGAGCCACAGATGCGATCCAAAGTTTGGATTCCACGCAACCTGAAATATAGAAAAAAATGTTAACATACTTTTTCATTTTATGGGACATCCAACTCCCCAACTTACATAAATTTGTCTTCATACTTGCAATAATTTAAATAAGCCATGAAAATTACTTTGATCCTGCTGGAAATAAATGGAGGATCCAACTAGGACAACATAACTCCACAAACCAATTAAGGAAACATTTATTATAAAAGTCTGCTTCATTTAAAAGAAGGAAATTAATATATCACATATAGGAGAAATAATTGTGTACAGTAATACCCCAAACTTATGCAATAGGTGGGACCGAGCGGTAACCGCGTAAGTCGGGGTATAATTTTGCATATAAATACATACAAATAATTTTTAATTGGGGCTGGAGACTGAAGAAAACAATAATTTAGAAAAAAATGTTTAATAAAATCTTAGATAATACATATGTATAACAAATTAGGCCTATATTATTTTACAATTTTTCACATTTACTTGTTTATTACGCCATAATTTTAACATTGTTTCCATCTCAGCGATAATACTGTGACGTTTACGAATGATGCTTGAATTTAAAGATTGAGCATTTTTCACAGCTTCGAGAATTTTTTCTTTGCCTTTTATAATTGTTCTGACCGACAATTCCGGTAGATCAAACTTCTTTGCCAATTCACAAATTTTCATTTTTGTATCGAAGTCTTTAATAATGGGTGCATTCGTAAAGTCAAACGAGTTAAACGCATTAGTAACAAATTGTTCGAAATAGGAATAACGATGACTTCATTCTCGCTTAACTGGTTCGACTTTACTAACATACCCAATGTTAACTTTACATTCCAAAGATAAAGTTTTTCTTTTCTTGTTTGATGCAGAAGAATTATTTCTACTTCGTTTGGATGACATAGTAGAGTCTCTTGAGTCTCCGTACATATAACAAACACAAAATAAATTGTAGCTGTGTTTGGATTCCGCGCGACACATCGAACATGTAAGCTGAACAATAGTGTGGGGGGAGTGAGTAATCAAGGGTTGCGTGGCGCTGAAACAAAAGACGAATCGACGAGATTTGAAAATCGTTTAACTCGGGGTATTACTGTATTCTTAAAAATCATTGTTATAGCATTTTATGCACCAAAATAACAAGGCTTCTGGGAAAAGTCTGTCTGTCTCTCCAGTCATTGTAAAAGAAATTATTTTTTAAATAAAATAAACAACAAAACTTTTCAGAATTCAATGACATTACTCAACATGTTTCCCAACAGTCAAAATTTTTACAACAGTTGAGACAGAAAGTGTGTGTGGTGATAGATTTTTATCCATTTTTTTTAATCTTAATACCAGATCTTAATAATGCAAATAGTCCTAAGGTTTTGATCACCAGGAGACAATATACTCTTGTCTACTAATAAAAAATTAAAAGTTTTGAAATTTATTGGACACTAAAAGTTTTGTTTCTGAATTTAGTTTTACCCAATATTAATAATATATACATTCCATACTGTTATTAAAAGTACAAATCAATCTTCATCTCCATTAAAGTGGGAATAAACAATAAATTTGATTTATACTTAGCTTCTGTTCTGTTTCACTATAGGAATTAATATTGTAATATAACCGTAAATAACCTTGAATTATTCTGGTATAACAAGTACTATTCAATGAATACTTCTCTTGCTGACAAGTTTGGTAGGTCAGGACCATTATTACCTACTATGGACAAACTTTTCAGAACTATTAAAAGCATTGCATTCCATCCCTATTGAGATCATAATTGCACTGTTGCCAAATGATACCACCATCTTTCAACTATGACAATATTTATATAAAACATTATTTCATCCAATTTTCTGATATGTACTAAGCAAACTGTCTGGAAAGGCATAATGCAATTCTTTCGAGTCAATTGCAGGTTTGTCCTATTTTTCTAAGTCATATTGGAAGTTATCATCATTTGTAGATTTTCAAAGGAATGGATGAAGAAACATTTAAAAAATTGTTTCAGAGAGTTATTCCTAAACTGGAAGAAAGAAGTGTTTCACTTCATAATGCTCCATATAATTAGTGTTGTCACCAGGTCAGTTTTTAAATTCATGGTCCGGATTAATTATTAATTTGTCCAGTTTTCGTAGAAATTGTGAAATTATGATGAAACAAAATAAATTAAAATGAAATACTCACAAATATTTTTATAAACGGTTAAAGACTTTAACTTCATATTCCCACCCAAACTTAGCCCTAGGCTAAGAGTGACAGAAAATGTACTTTTAAAATTCTAACTTGGAACAAACCTAATATTTGCCAAACATAATTCCCTAACTGGTTTCAAATTCAACCAGTCAGGGACTTGTGTTGGAACAAACCTATTGTAAAGCGAATGTGACAGTTTCAGTTTACAAGTTTATAATTTCTATTATAAACTTCTATGTATTATTTTTGGATATGCCACGTGTGATTTTGTATTATTTTAATAATATATCATGTACAGTACATGTTTACCTTCTAATAGATAAAAAAATTTTTTTAAGTATAATATCATAATTTTGAAAAGGCTGCAACACTGGTGTTTGTATCTAATTCAGCTAAATTATAAAAATTCCAAAGACAATTAAGAATATTGCCTTTGATACACAAATGTTAAAACCAGAACTATCAAACCTTTATAAAAAGCATCAAGCATAGATACAGAAAATTCAAAATAGATAATATGGACAAAAACAAAAATGTTATAACTTTGATATAGGAAAATGTGGGAATTAGACAAAATAATAGTTTTGTAATTTCACTGGAAGAGTAGATTGTTTTGGAAATCTTCATTGCAACAGCACATATGTTTGCATCATAATTTCTTTATTTTGAAAAATTAAAACTTTGTAAAATTATACATATCCACATCCTTTATAACAAAATATGTATTTCTTTTTTGTCTAATAAATCAAACAAATTTTATTTTCATACAGTCAAATTTCAAAAAGCTGCCACCATCTAATGTTTTTCATGGATAAGCAGGACTGGCAGTTTAATGAAAAATGGTCCTGTAATACATTTATTGCACATATAACATGTTGTTATATGCATGAATATTGAAAAGTGCAGTAGCAAATAACTTGGAAGAAACATTTCAAAAGATTCAAATGGACTTTCATTCATGTTACAAAAGAACATAATTCAGAGGTTAAAATTCATGTTTCTAAATGAGAGGGAGACTCCCCTTGCCTTCAGGGAGCTTGTAAAAACAATGTCTCACTTTCATTCTCAATAGTATGGTATACTCAAATAAATAAAAATTTTTCAATTATGGGTCAATCAGATGCAAGGCTTGAAGAGTGATTAACAAAGAAAATGCTAGAACATTATGCTATTGTTAGAGGTGAGTGCCAATGTGTTACAAGCAAAAATTTAATTAATTTATATTTTTGAATTTTATAACTGGTAAATATTTAATTGGAAATTAATGTTTTTGTTACATTAGTACTATTTTTCAATTTTCATTTTAATAATAACAATTTAACCTGTACTGTTTAGCATTTTTTGTTTTAATTTTTAACTAGTTTATTATACCCTCAATTTGATGGCAAGTATTGAGAGAATTAAAGACAAATTTTATTGCTATTAGTTTTTTAAGCTCTTTCCGTCCTGTGGGCATTAAGAGGACCTTTTTAGCAAGCCCACAATGAGGTGGTTGGATGTAATGGATGGATCACTTCTGGAATTTTTCAATCTTGGGTTCCTCAGTGATAGGCTGCCACCTTAACTGTTTGGCCATTAGGAATTTTCTTTAATTTTTCCTAATTGACAGAGCATTTTTGAAGTTGCAAAATGTTTTAGCTACTTTATAAACAATCATCAAGAATAACTGATTCATAAGTTACTAAAATAACATAAACTGGCAAGGGAGAATCACTCTTTGCGTATTCTAATCCTTTGCATTATATCAAATGTCATGTCTTCTTTTCATGTTTGAAAACAATTTTCAATATAGTTTTGGTTTTTATGGTACATCACGGTTCTTTGCTTTACACATTTTGTTTAATTTATAATTTAACTTTTCAAATTAAAAAATTTTAACAAATTTTAATTTTTTTCTAGTTTTGTGGAAATTGTAGAACAGGAATCTTGCCTATCGTGTATACATATTTGCAGGTCTATATACAACTTTTGGCCATTTTAATGTTGATTCTGGAAAACTGGCAGCACTATAGTGTATGTTAAAGGTTTTTGTCTACCCAATACAGTGGCAGACAGCATATTAGCAGGAGTTTCCTATCCTTTTATCATTTGGGACAATTTGTTTCATTACATTTTTTAGCAAGGGTGGCATATTATTGAGGTTTGATTGTACATTAAGTTCATAAGTTAAACATAAGGATATGACAAAATTCATATGAAAAATTTATAAATATTTGTATTAATTTTCTGAGAATTACTATAGATTCAAATCATATAGTATTGTTTAAAAATTAAAATATGGTATACTCATAAAGTACAATTATTTTAAAATCTCAATTCATTTGAATGTAATATTGTAGATTTTAATTATTGATATTTTTCAAGCTAAGACTAAGTAATTAATTAAAAATTCATATAGAACCTGTTCTTTTACCTTATTGATTGATGCCAAAGGATAAAGATTTGGTTGAGAAGGTGACATATTTTCTGATTTTAAAACTCTCTGAAATTCTGAAGTAGAAATTTCTCCAAAATCAGCCTTTAAAATAAATATATTTTAGAAACTATTCACCAAATATGTTTCATATTTTAAAAAAAATTTTTCACTTACAAAATTATTATCTTGAAATACAAGACCATATGTCTTAACTGCATCTTTATACGTTGGTAATGTTTTCTTTTTAATTTTTGGTAGATTTTCAGTACTTTCTGATGACTTGTCAGATTCCACACTAAGAACATCATCATTTTCATTTACTTCATTTAATGCTTCCATACTTATTCTATACAATGGCTACAAGAAACAAATAATAGATATAAATAAATTTATTAACAATCTTTAGTTTTATAAATACAATGTACAGTAATAAAAACTTACCACTCTCCTGTGGCCCATTTGTTTTATATGATCAACATACTTCATAAGTTGGCATAAAACCACAATTACCATATCCCCACTTGCACTACCACTTGCCTCAACGTTTAACCAGTCAGAAACTGATAAACTCTGTCAGAAATTTCAATTATAAAGTTATAATTTGTTTTATCTAATTAATAATATCCAAAAAATTTAACAAACACTTACCCATATAGTACTGAAATGTACAGAAAGTACTTTGTGCAAGAAACTATAATATCCACATTCTTTATATATGGTAGAAGTATGGAAGAGACTGCATATAGTGAGGAAAAAATTACATAAATAAACCAAATTCAAATATGTCATATATTAAAATTTTTATAAATGAATAAATAATTATTACTTATAGCACTCATCCATTGATTCAAACATCCCACACCAATGAGGCAACCAAGCAAGGTCTCGAACCAATCCTCTTTTGTCATTAAGTATTGAAGGCCAATCTATAAAATATTTATAACATGTAGTATGGTAAGCAAAAATAATTCATTTTTATTACCATAAATTGAGATTATGAAGTCATTTATTTTCTTTTATTTCAACTTTTTATTATTGAAGTTGGTAGTAGGTCAGTATAATAATTTTCAATATTTTTGTTTAATGTAATTGCTGTAAATACAGTAGAGCGTCGATTATCCGAAAGTCAATCATCCGAAAGAATTCCAGTCGGCAAATTTAAATTTTTGCCAGTGCTGTGGCGCTGCAATCTTTGGCTANAAGGCCAATCTATAAAATATTTATAATCATAAAAAGAGAAATTTTAAGTATAGCAATATAAAATTTTTATAATAAAAAAAAAATACAGGCAATGATGTTAATATCAAATAACTTCATCCAATATTTCCAATAATGAGTTTTATCATACTTAAAGTGATGTTGTCTAGAGAGATTTAGCAGATCAAATGCAACCAAATCTGGTTTGTGACATCTCAGAACATAAAAGATATTTCCATTAACAAAAAGTAGGGGAGGGCATGGTAATTCCAGCCGCAACAAACAAAACATTCTCTTTGAACATGTATTACATAAACAGTATTTAAAATTATTGATGACAACTATATTGGTAAAAAAAAAAAAATGATTCTTACATAATGAAGATAGTTAAGTATCATTTGACTATTGCATAAATGACAATGCATAAATTAAAAGCCTAACAACTTAAAAAATTTTTAATAAAATTACCAAATAAAGGTTGGTCTAAATGACAATGATACATACTGCTATGTAATAAACAAAAATTTTAATTGTTGCAAAATTTGAAGTATTAAATATTTTATCACACTATGATTGGTGTCACATGGCTCTCTCGCAAAGCACAAAAATCATGTAAAAAATAAACACACTGACCCATCTGAAATGAATTGGAATTGGTCCAGACATTAAGGAAAAGAAAAAAGAATATAAAATATATTATTATTGTGCAGCAATATTTAATCTACATTGTTATTTCATCGAATTGCTCTCATTATGTGAGACAATTAAAAGTACAGCTTTTGCATGTTTTGTTAGAATTTTGGCACACAATGGAAAATGTATGTATTGCATTTTCTGGGACTCAGAGTTAGGAAAGTATTGATTTTATTGGATTTTTCAAAAATTTAAGAAAAACTGACTTTTGAAACAAAGATGCTTGGCATTTCACAATTAATAAAGAGTCAAATTATATCTTACTTTCTTAATTTATGTACATAAATGTAGTTTAAATAAAATAAAATTACTTACATTGATCTTGCAAATCCCAAACTTTCGCAGTTTTATCATAACCAGCTGTTGCTATATACCGATTTCCCGGTATAGGCAACCACAACAAGGCAGTTATGCAGGCACTGTGTGCAGGAAAAGACATAAATGGACAAAGTGTTAACTGCCCATAATTGGTAGAAAGAATCAAAAGTGGAGATGATGACATCAAATTCCAGATACATACTAAACCTATATTAAAATTGAAATGATTAAAGCCTGATAAAAACATGCATTAATTTATATGAAAGAAAATTACCACTTCCATATCCAGCTGCTATATGAGAATGACTATTGGTCCTTTGCCAGGAGATTTTAGTACAAATTGTTTGATGACAAGAAATATTAGGTCCATTTTCAGGTGGAACTAGTATAACATCTGCCTTTGGTTTAAAAATTGGCAAACTCTCTTCATTCTTTGTAAGACAATACGGCTGAGGAATGCTGTTGAATAACATTTTATCAATATAAAGAAATTTTCTACAGTTTAAAATAAGAGTATATCATATTACCTGTATATCTTTACAGTACCATCACTACAAGCTGCGGCTAAAAGACCTAAACGTGGCAGTTTATTGCCAGATTTTTTCAGACCATCATTTTGTAAATCAGATACTTCTTCCCAACATCCACTAGGACACCATGTCAAATCCCATATTTCCCCATTCTCGTGAGCAATGGCTAATGCTAACTTTGGCCTTTTCATTAAACTGAAAGAATTTTAGAAAATTTTTTGAATTTAAAACAACAACTGAAATTACTGTATAAATAATAATAAAAAAACTAGTTACAAATTATTTTCTAGATTTCCAACATCCCAAAGTTGTATCATTCCTTTACACTTTTTAGTATCTGTTAAGTAATGAGCTTCGGGATCACATGCAGCTAAAGCTAAAAACTGATCTGTAGTAACTCCAAGTGGATTCGGACACCAAGAAATAGACCAAACAGATCCCCCAGCAAAAAATATACTGGATGAAGCTAAATATTTTTAAAAATTTATATTTTTAATATACAGCATATTAAAATATATATATTTTTTATTAACAGTTTAAAACAACCTTTTGATTCTGACTGAATATTTTCAAACAAGTTGATTTTTATCCAAGAACTATCATGTTCATCATCTGAAGCTATCCTTAAGTTAGATGACTCACTCAGAGAAGGCAAATAATCTTTATATTCTCTTTAGTTAAAAAGAACACTGTAATAAATATTTAATAATTCACTTTGAAATTGTTTTAAATAATGATTATATTTACCTCTCTAACATCTGAATCCAATCTGAAGAAAGTGGTTTCCACTGTGAAAAAACTTCAGTTTTATTATGTTTCTGAAAACTAAAAATATATTATCATCAAATTTCAGCATATTAATTCCCATAAAATGCTTATATTAAAAGAAATACTATATAATTGACATAATACCTGGAAACTATATATATTTTTCATTTGTAGTTCTTCCCAGTACCCAAAAGGGCAGAAAAAACTCAAAAATGACTAACAGGGCCTTTTTTCCCAAACCCATTGTGGTTTTAGTCAGGTTCACAATGGGGATAGTCAGATGGTGAGGGAAAAATCCAACATATTCAGGATATACTACCCACAAAAAATTCACAGAGATTCAATCATGGGTTCCTCAGAGTAGGCTGATGTTTCAACTGCCTCAGCCACTGGCCATTCAAAATAATACATCTGACAAATTATTCTCAAGTGCGTCTTTGGTAGTCTCATACATATTTTTAAAACAACAATATAACAAGTATGTAATATTTATATTTTGCATACTAGTAAATTCTGATGGTTTGACAATCAATCAAAACTATTTTTACCAATAAAACAATCCTGATCTATATTGTTGTTACATCATATCTCATCAATCATTTTGTTATACTTATTATATATTTTATCATATTTGTCTGGATTTTATTATACATCTAAGTGAAAGTACATTTTATAAGTACATTTTATGCATAAAATTAATTTTATTTGTATTTCNAAATTCGCCCAGTGTGATCGGATGAAATCGTGCGTACTGATAACAATTCCATTATAAGATTATAAGATTGTAAGAGAGGATTTTGTCATCAGACTGGTCACTCCCAGTGTTACCACTCATAAAGACATATCCTTACAACCAGAGCTATTATAGTGGCCAGATGGTTGTTTGTTAATTTAATTAATTTAAGTTATGGCAACGCAACACTTGGGCAATCTGCCTAGGAGGATGCCTTCTGGGATGTCTTTTAAGGGAAACTGGCCCCTATTTAGGCGTTACAGACGTGGAGAAAATCTGGAAAACGCCACGTGGCCAGTCCATCCGAGCGAGGCGCGAACCCATGACCGAACTCCCAGTGTTCAGGGTACGAAGACTGCTAGGCCACTGGTGGGCCATGTGGCCAGATGGCCGAGTGGTTGAGGTGGCAGCCTACCGCTCTGGGAGACCGAGGTTCGAATCTGGACAGGTCCATAAATCCCCAGAAATTTTTCAGGGGGTGGCCCACCTGGATATGTTGAGCTCTGTCCCTCACCATCCAGTCGCCTGTGGGCCTGACCAAACTCATAATGGGCTTGCTAATGGAGGCCCTCTTAATGTCAACAGAAAGAGTTTTAAAAAATAAATAAATGTATTAATAGAAAGTGCAGTAAAATCTCTTTAAAATGACTACCCCCAAACCTCCAGTTACTCCAAAACTAGTCATCTCAATGCATGGTCTTGTCAAAGGAGATGATGAAAATATAATGGATACAAAGTACTGTATATAGTGTATGCCCAATAGTAATTCACAGTACTACATAGTATATATAGTAATCCAGTGTAACACTATAGCAAAAACTATTTTAAAAATTCTCTGTATTGATTAATGCTATTCTGGAAAAAAATTTATTTATTAATACATCACTTTAATTCTGTGTACTATATATGAATATTTAATATATACATTCTTAAATGTTTGATTTAAAATAATCTGAAATGAATAATTGCTTTCTTTGTTTTAATTTCATGCCTTCATATTTATTGAAACATCCTTCAAATGATTTCCAAAACTCACCCAAATCCTACCAAAATTTGTAGTCATAATTACCATTTTACCTATCCTTATTAATAGAAAGATTAAATTCATTGGCTTTGTTATATTGTTTTTACTTTAATAAGAATAAATAAAACATAAATCATATGCTAATCTGTTATTGAAGATATTAACAGCAAATTATATAAGAAAGAAAGTCGTTAAATAACAGGAATTTTAATCTAAAATTCATGGAGATGTATGACTGCAAAAACCTTATTGAAGGACACTATTATTCCTCAAGAATACGCCATATACAGGTCATGATGATTAAGCAGTATGCACCTGCACAACAGTGCTTCACCACTGAATTGCATCATGAAGAGCAACTGTCATTCAATTTTTATTGTAAGTGAGAGTAAAATCTGAAAATCTACAGGAGAACGAAGATTCAGTATGGAAATAGTTGTTTGAGTCAAGAGAGAATATAAAAATGGGTGAAAAGATTTAAAAACAGAAGACAAAATGTCAGTGATGAACACTGGAGTGAGAGATCAGTTTGCAAGACAACTGAAACAGTGAAACAGCAAAGCCATTACTACAGACAAGTTATTGTTGATGAAACTGGCACAGAATTCAACATGAGTCATGGCTGTGCATATAATATTATGCCTGATGATCTCAGGTATAAGAAAATGTGTAGATGATGGGTCTCAAGATGGCTATCCATTGATCACCAGCATATAGAGGAGATATATTAAGTGATTTGAAATTTGTGGTGATGAAACATCCACCATACAGTTTGGAATTGTTGCCACCAGATTTTCAATTGTTTGGACTTTTGAAAGGACATTTGTGAGATCAAAAGTTTGTTGATAACATTGAGACAATAGAGGAGGTGCAAAGCTGGTTAAAGGCCACACCAAAAAGCTTTTTTCTTGAGGACATCCAGAAGCTTGTAAACTGGTGGACCAAGTGTGTTGCAAAAGCAGGATGATTATGTTAAAGAAATTGATTGTGTTTTATTTTTAAGTATCCCTTTAAAAAAAATTATTGTAAAATTTTTTTAAAGGGGTACTTTAATGACTTTCACTTATATATTCTTCACAATAAGATAAAGTAGGAGAAAATAGATGCATTGAGGTTGGGAAAAAAGACAGATGAATTTTTACACCTAACTCAATGGTGCAACATGTCCAACATTGTACATAAAACTGGTCACCTCAAAAAAGGATTAAAAACAATGATCCCAATGAAACAAGAATTCTGTTCTAAGAAAATCTGATCATCTGGAGAACTTTTTACTTTTGTACTACAAAAGAAACAATTTTTATTTTTTTATTTTATGTTTATACATGTTTATGTATAAACATAAAATAAAAAAATAAAAATTGTTTCTTTTGTAGATAATTGTAAAGTTCTAATAGCCTCAAAACAGAATATTTGTAAATAAAGTACAAAAACTAAAAATACAATATAAGTAAGTTTACAAAAGCTTATAAAATAATAGTAATTAGAAAATATAAAAGTTTAAAAATATATTTTAAAAAAATAAAAATTATTTCATATTTTGGTTTCTATATAAATTTTTAGTTGAAATTAATGTAATTTAACTTAATAATAAGAATAAATTTAGAACATATAGAAGTAAAAGAATTTTTAAAACAAATGATTATTTATTAAGTGATACAATAAACATACAGTAAGACGTTATATCAGCGTTAAGCGAGGCTGCTTAATGCTGCCTCGCTTAACGCTGATTCTATATAACACCGTCTGCTTGTAGTCTAAAAAAAAAGCTCAAAATTTAAGCTGATTTAAACTATCACTGCATTTTATTGATTTGTACATAATAAGATTATTTACTAACACAAACCAATCAGAAAAAGGTGTACTTTCTTTGATGCAATTTTGGAAAAAATATAACATCATGGATGCCATAGGTAATATCGGCTTCGATTGGCAAGAATTAACTGATAAATGCACAAACGAAGTGTGGAAAAAGTTATGTAGAACTGGAAAATAGTGATTCTGAAAATGAAGAACCCAAAAAATTTCTCTACAGATTTCCTTAGTATATATTATTATACATTTCTGTGTGCATATGTTTGTGTTATTTAACATATATTATTATACAAATTAATTAATATAAAAATAACTTAAAATCAAAGTAAAATTTTTTTATTTTCGGTCGAGTGTTCCCCTATCCATATTTACTCTATGTTAAAATGACCTCATTTAACGCTGTTTTGTTTAGCACTTTGTTGTCTAAGAACACATCCCCCTTGTTAAGCGGGGTCTTACTGTATCTGCAAAACTGAAAATATTATGTGCTATCTGAAATAATAATATATAATTGAAGTATATCATTATTTCAGATTTCATATTGAAATATGCATAAGCAAGAAGAAATATAAATTTCCAGAATTATCCACTATAAGTTCCTGTAAATAACCTATGACTATTATCTGTATTTAAAATTAAATTTGAAAGCAATGGTTATACAATGATGCAGTTTATCTGCCAATTTGTAATTACGAATTTAGCTAACAACTTTTTCTTTGTCTAAATTTACCAAGGGCATGATTTTTAAAAAACATGAAAAATTATTTCCACACCTCAAAATTCATCTACCATTGTAATTTTTCCAAGAACTGCCAAACATATGCCTTAATCTTAGTTCTCTCCCAATCTTTTTCTTATTCAACTCCTTTAATTGATAATGAGTTTAAGTAGGAGTGCTTAACATAAACTATAATATAATAATATAATAAATAAACTTTAATATAAATTTTCTAATTCTCCATACATACATAATAATTTTTAGAGAACTTTAAAAATTGACTATCAACTTTATTAATTGTAGATAACTAATATGTTCTCTATAGCAAATAGAAGAGACTGACTCAAACAACAGGAAATTATATTACTTAAAACAATTATTTTATCATAAAACAATAAAATGCTTACAATTTTAAAGCCCATTCCATTGCAATAGCATAGGGTTTTAGAAGAGAACCTCTGGCTGCATAATTATATGTTGAAGAAGGTGGCTGATGAAAATCACTATATAATGATTTTCCATCTTTATCATCTGTAAAAAAAAATTACATTCATTAATTATATAAGAAAAACTCTACTCAATCATATATATTTTGTAATGATTCAGTAGAAAATAGCTAGCTTTAAAATGATATGAAATGTAGTGAATACACAAAGATAAACTAAATCTAAAAATTTTCTGCATTGATCACTGTAATTCTTTTTTCCTTCTTTTACTTTAGTTTTATATATGTTAATTAAATCATGATTAAATCAGTTAAATTTAAAAATCAATCTAACAAATCTTCATTTCTATACAATTTAATATTTATACTAAATTGAAAAGTTATAAATAATTTGAATAATTTCAGTCAGAAACATTTTAGATTTTCCTAAAATAATTTTACTAACAATCATCTCTACTAATGATATCTCTTAATCCTTCATCATCTTTATCCACTTTTAATTCATTTAAAAAATTTTTATTACAAGTGCTCCAAGAACATATAACTAAAATCACATTAATCCAAAGAACTGAACATATTTTATTATACAAATGGAATTCTTAAAATTTACAAAGAATTGTAATTTAAACTATATTTTAAATCAATTAATTACTGGATTACTGGAATGAATCACATACAATCAAGAACCTTTAAACTCCCTTAAAAAATTATTGTATATGGGATAGTTATATTTTTTATGACTTTTTATAGAGTATACTGTTCAAATTGTTTTATATGCGTTTGGTGTTGTTCCAAATTTTTAAAAATAATTTTTCAAATATGTTTGTTCTATGCATTCTGTTTTGGAATTTTATTGATTAAAAACCTGAAAAAGACTTTGTGTAAGATCGAAAACATTCGTTTTCATTAAAATTTGTGTAACTGGAATTTAAAGATTCTTGATTGTATATATTTCAAATCAACATATATTTTCTAATAAAGATAATTATGGTAACTTTACAATTGAACTGAATCATATAAGTAACAGCAAATACTGGAATTTGTAGAAAATATACAAAATTTTGAAACAATTTTCCATTTTATAAGTTGTTATAGAATGGTAAATTGTTTCAGAATAACTATTTGATCTAAAACAATTGTTCTAAATTATAATTTATACAATTCTATTAATACTAAACTGCTTTTACAAAAAATTCAAAAGAGAAGAAAATTTCCATTTAAATTAAATAATTTAAATTTAAATAAGGAAATGCTCTAAAATATAAATCATTTATATTTGGAATTTTTAATCCAAAATGGATGTGGCTGTCTGATTTTTCAGTTATCTGAGATAGCATTGATCCAATTTATCTCGGATAATTGGGATTATACTCTGTAACAATTCAAGTTAGTTATATCATTGCAAAAATCACTAAAATTCGTAATTTTTGATATCAATCATTAAATGATTTAATTATTTCAATCATATATTCCGAGAATGACGATATCAACAATCGTGAAAAATAAAGACATTATTAAATCTGCTAACATTGCGAAAGGAGTTAAATCAATTTCTAAACAGAGATCAAAGGCATTAGATCATGTTGAGAAATTGCTTTTGCTTCGGATAACTGAAAAACAGTGTGCTGGCGACATCGTATCAGAAGCAATTATTTGTGAGAAAGCTAAAAAGATACATGCTGATCTCATGAAAAACCAAGCAGGAACTAGCCAGGAAAGTGAGGTAGTGTTTAAAGCCAGCCATTTTTTTACATGAGAACAGATTAATCATTTTTTACATTACTTCTTATGGGAAAGGTTGGTTTGGTATACGTCCTATTTGGTATAAGTCCAAACATCACGAACAGATTAAGGTCGTATACCAAGGTTACATCAACATATATTTTCTAATAAAGATAATTATGGTAACTTTACAATTGAACTGAATCATATAAGTAACAGCAAATACTGGAATTTGTAGAAAATATACAAAATTTTGAAACAATTTTCCATTTTATAAGTTGTTATAGAATGGTAAATTGTTTCAGAATAACTATTTGATCTAAAACAATTGTTCTAAATTATAATTTATACAATTCTATTAATACTAAACTGCTTTTACAAAAAATTCAAAAGAGAAGAAAATTTCCATTTAAATTAAATAATTATATAAAACAATAATTTTTTATTTATATCTTATTTACACATAATAAATATATATATAAACATCTAAAAAAAACACTTTCAAAATAACTCAAAAAAGCTGCTTTTTCATTTAATTATACATCTCTTCTACCATAAATTAAAATCACTGAACAGTTACATTCAAATTGTAGTGTTATGTCAATCATTAATGTTACAATGACATTTCTTTTGTTCATGTGTAATTTAATAATTACACACGAGCAAAAGAATAGTGTTAAAAATTTTAATAAATAACAATTAATTATCAAAGAGTAAATGTTCTTTAGAAATTTATATGATTCATATTATATTTCAAAATTTACTTTTTATTTATATTAAAAGTTATGAAGGAGAATGAAATACTTACTGTAATCATTTATATCTTCATTCTGAAAAAAAAAGAAAAAAAAAAACAGTAAAAATTATTTAATATAATTAATTAAACTTGAATTATTTAAATATGAAAACATAAATCTAACTTACAAAATGGCATTTCTTCATATGATTATACAAAAATAATGGCCCCATTGAATATGATTTTCCACAGATTCGACACATCCATTTCTTTGTTTCTGAACCACAATGGCGATAATGACACTTCATTTGATGTAATTCTGAAAACTCTTTTTTGCAATTCTAGAAAAATAAGCATTTTTATTATTCTTTAGTAGAATTATCAGCTTTTGCTGAAATAAAACTATTTTCACTTAATTTAGAAAATAATTATTATATTATCATTACCATTTTGTCACAGCTTATTTTTCCATTTTCAACTAATGATTTCTCCCATGATGTTATCATAGTTTCACTTATTTCTTTTATTTGATCAGATGGTGTATAAAATAATCCTTTCCAAGGATCTAAAAGTTCCATAAAGAAATAACGAGATTCTCCATCTTCATCATAATAATCATCAGAATCAGTAAATTCTTCTTTTTTCTCTTGTTCTTCTTCTGACTGTAGATATTCCGAATCATCACTTTCATCTTTATTGCTTTCTTCATCTTCAGGTGATTCTTTCTCAATTCTCATAAAACTTTCAAGTTTTTCTATAGCTCTATAAATATATTTACATATTTTTAATTCATTATTATTTATTCTAAAATAAATATTAATTAAAATATTTTCAAATAACATTTTAATGAAGAATCAAAAAATAAAATTGATAAATATTTAAATATAGAATACGAATTTCCACTTAACCTACTTGAAATTTTTCAACTCAGTATGTGATTTTTTTTAATAATAAATGCATGGAATTCATAAAGTTATATTAAATAATCATTTTGAAAATATTTAAAATTATTAATATACACTGGTACCTTGGTATACATCTGCTTTAGAATACGTCCAATTTGGAATATGTGCTGTTTGGATGAAACAAATTTTGCTCGGTATATGACTTAATTCAATTATATGTGCCATCTATGAACAAGTAGCACTATCGGTGTACTACACCAGACTAGACGTTCACGATGCCACAGTTTATAACTTTGTTAAATTTCTTCTGATTTTAATTTGTAAGTAAAATTTTATTATTTTTATTAATCATGAATTGCAAAAAAGGCAAATGAAAAGCAACAGAGAACTAAAAAAATGACTAGAATCACAATGGAACTGAAAAAAAGAGATTGTTGAGAAATATGAAGGTGGCATGCGTGTTCGAGATTTTAACTGTTGTGTACCATATTCCGAGAATGACGATATCAACAATCGTGAAAAATAAAGACATTATTAAATTTGCTAACGTTGCGAAAGGGGTTAAATCAATTTCTAAACAGAGATCAAAGGCATTAGATCATGTTGAGAAATTGCTTTTGCTTCGGATAACTGAAAAACAGTGTGCTGGCGACATCGTATCAGAAGCAATTATTTGTGAGAAAGCTAAAAAGATACATGCTGATCTCATGAAAAACCAAGCAGGAACTAGCCAGGAAAGTGAGGTAGTGTTTAAAGCCAGCCATTTTTTTACATGAGAACAGATTAATCATTTTTTACATTACTTCTTATGGGAAAGGTTGGTTTGGTATACGTCCTATTTGGTATAAGTCCAAACATCACGAACAGATTAAGGTCGTATACCAAGGTTACACTGTATTCTAATATTTGACAGAAAAAGAATCTAAAAAATGAAAATATACATCATATCTTATGAAGAATATGTACTTGAATTGAATATTTGTAATTTTCTATTTACAAAATGAAACTAATGAAGGATATCTCTCATCCAATACTTGCTATAATTTCATGTAATTTATGGATGGGTTTTCCATTTCTTTTTTTTTTTGTTCATTTTTTTCCCAAAAACTGTTACTGTCAAATGAATATGCATTAGTTTGGATACAACAAATCTGGTTGCTGTCCTTTCCTTACAATGATTTGAATTATTTTGTTACATCTTATCTCTCCAGTGAGAGAGTACAGTGATAGTGGAATTAGCTAAATAACAATAAAAATCATTAGATAAAACCATAACCAAAATTTAATTAAAAACCTAAACAATCATCTATGGCATTTTTTTGTTATATATATATGTATATAATACAGTAAAACCTGTCTAAGACAGAACATAACAGTAGCAGCCTGAATTTTCCATTTTGTTAAGTTTAAAAAATATTAAATTCATATTTAGAACTACTTATCCTCAATATAAGTATTCTCTAATTTATCTTCTCCTTCAACATAAACATTTTATTTTTCAAAGATATGTTAAAATGTGCACATGAAACAGAGTGGAAAAAAAATCAAGTGTAAAAACCCAATACCCATGAAATGTGTTTTAATTTGATAGCCAGCACTTAATTCATTAACTAAAATAGTAATAGTAGTAAAGAACTTTTCAATTTTTATTGAAAAATTTCCCTTACAATGTTTACAAAAATGATTCCTTTTAAAAATTAATTGTTATTCTTTCATGAATACCACATTGAATTTTGATTAGTTCTAAGAATTTTGCTACGTACCTAATATGGAGAGAGCAGAAGGATTTCATCCTAAAACATTTTATTATAAATATCTGATAACTTTTACTTAAGAAAAAATGGGGACATATCAAATTAATAGTGCATATCTTTTTAAATATGTTATTCCCAGGAAACAAGTTAACTCTTCTAGAGAGTTTGGGAAAAACAGCAGTATGCGTCATCACAATTACTTTCTAGACTATGAAATTATAGTCTTACAAAAAAAAAACTAATTCTGATCACCAAGAAGTTGACCATTATCTGAATACTTATGTTTCAGTATTAATTTCCATTTCACTCATGTTATGTTATGAAAGTCTTTTGTTTCTGCACTACACAAATTTCTAACTTGCATTTCTAAATTTCTAACTGTTACTCTACATAGCAAATTATCCCATTTGAGGATTATTTTCTGTTTAGATACATTTTCATTTTGTATGAAAGATCTCTGTTAAACATTATATTTAAATATACAATATATGATAATAATTAAAATTTCTATTCTTGTTAACTGACATTGACTATGGATGCTTTAGAGATAACTGGACAAAAAACAGGAGTAACCAAGATTAATAAACACTGCTTTAAGCCAAATTTTGAGATTATCTTGAAGGATATGATAAGGAGAACATTTTTTTGATGCACTCTGACACAAATGCTAAATTTAATAAAATTTTAAGTTTTTCAGCTTTCCTTTCCTACTTATTTGGATTATCATCCAGTACTCTTTTCCTTCTCAAGAACTAACTTCATTTATAAATGAGTTTAAAACTAATAACTGCAGTAACAGTTTTTAATTAATCAGATTAGCTCTATATTAATACTTCAAATTCTTTTGAAAGAACATCAATTAGTTATTTAGTATAGACAATAAAATCAATTTTAATACTATATTCTAAGCAAACCCATTTTGATATTTTACATTATATCAAAATGGGTTTATTTATGTAGCAGAAGTCTACTAAACTGACACTAAAAAAAGACAGCAATGCAGAATCGAGTTTCTTAATTATGTTAAATATTGATTTATTTTTATAAGGATATAACAATTTTTATGAATATAGAATCATTTGCAGCTAACTCTAAATTTTGCAGTTTTTTAATAATAGAGTGTTCCTATTATATTCAACATGTTCTACTTGTGACCATAAGCAGATATGTAAAATTCTAAATGGTTATATAAAGTAGCAAATGTTAGCTGAGCAAATCAAAGGTTGATCCAATTTTCAAATACTGTTTTCAAATACAATTTCATAGGTAACCACTTATGGTTCTAAATCCATGATATCTATTATTTAAATATTAAATTGCAAATACAGTAAAATCCTAATTATCAAAGTCCTGATTGACTGAGATGACACATTATTCAATGAAAACCTCTAAGTGAATACACTACTTTTCTTATACTGTAATTCATAAAAGAAAGTTTAAAACAATGATGTACTGTACATTACAAAATGATTTGTTTCTGTTACTTCTACTACTTATTGTCAATGTGAGACAAATCATTCATATTAAAATGTAATTACAATAAAAACTAATGTATATATATTAACTGTAAAATAAATAATGTAAAAATTGTTGTTCATATAATGGATTAAATTCACTAAAATATAAAAGAGGCTTAAAAATGCTAACATATAAATCATTTATATTTGGAATTTTTAATCCAAAATGGATGTGGCTGTCTGATTTTTCAGTTATCTGAGATAGCATTGATCCAATTTATCTCGGATAATTGGGATTATACTCTGTAACAATTCAAGTTAGTTATATCATTGCAAAAATCACTAAAATTCGTAATTTTTGATATCAATCATTAAATGATTTAATTATTTCAATCATATTTAATGAATAACTTAATTTAATATTTAAAATAAAACTATGCATAACTATTATTTTTAATAACACCAAAGTAATAGATGTAAAATTATTATTAATTACTTTATAGCAGCTCCCCTACGAGGCAAATCTTGATTTGTAGTTGGCTGAACTTCTTGTCGCTCACGATGAGCAGTACGTATATGTAAAGCCAAAGATATTACTTTGATAAATTTTCCACATATCTTACATTCAGTTCTTTGGACCTTAAAAATATTTAATATATTTTAATTAAAATTTTAAAAGAAAAAATATATTTCAAAAATTACATATAAATATAAATTTAAAAAGTTTTGACTATAATAGACAATACATTTAATACTTTAAAAATTATTTGATAAAAATTCGTATAGTGCAAAATAAATATCAAATATACATTACCTCTACTCCACATATATTTTTATGGTATTTGTATCCTAAAATACTTGAAAACTTCTTTCCACAATGAGGCTGAGTGCAGGACAATCTCTTTATTAATCGAAGATTTTTCTTATATAGTACAATTTCTTCTTGTGGAGTAAAATAGCTATTTTCATCATTTATTCGAGCCTACATTTAAAACAATTTAAGTGTAAATTTTGTTACAAATAGACCAGTATTAATTTTCTTATATATTTTAGAAGTAATATAAAGTTATATCTAATTTTATTGTATTTACTAGTTACACAATCAAAATGAATTCTTTGAAATGTGAAACTTGATTAATCAATCAAAAATATTTCTAAAATCTGTATCTCTATCATCAGTATACTTTTAGTAGTAACTGATGATGGAGACTGTAATTTGGTGTAAATTTATTTAATGCAATAATTCCAAATAACAAAATCATCTTTATTTAAAAAAGTATGTATATATATATATATATATATATATATGTGTGTATATATATTTTTTCTTTCAGTTATGATAAAAAATAGTTATAAAACATTTGAAATTACAAATTAAAAAGAAACATAAGTTAAATAAAGTAACAAGTAATGTAGAATATAAAATTGTTTCAACAAATATTTATTTTGATGATTAATTAGCAATTATATTCTTTTTTCCCCCCCACAAATAAATTAGTTAATTCTTGGATAATTATTTAAGATGGAAATAGAACATATGACTTGCTGAGAACATTAGTGACATAACTCAAAAAAACGCTACTTTTTGAGTTAATTACTTTCATAGCTTTTGTCAAACTTTTTCAATTCTTCATTCCTAATCAACTATTTCAGTTATCCTATTGATTTTCTTTGTAGCTAGAATACTTTCTACTTTAAGGTGTTCTAGCAGGTTAGTTTTTCTTATAAAGTTAGTACATAATATTTTTTTTATATTTTAGTTACATCACTAAAGCATTTGAATAAGTTTTGAAGATTCTGTGATAGAATAATGACATGATATATCCATTTTACTTTAAATGACTGAAAGTTTTATGGTGCACATAACTCCAAAATTGTCAATTTTGAGTTATGTCACTAATGGTCTCAGCAGGCAGTATATTAATGTTGACATAAAGATTTCACTTAATATTAGTTCATTAATGTAAATTTATATAATTTAAATTTCTTACTAATCCATTGTGAGCTGCCATTATATGATATCTTATTCTTGGTAAAGAATCAAATTCTTCTTTGCAAACTCCACACATGAGAGTATCCTGAAAAATTTCAAAATTTTTATAAACAATAAAAGATCATTGTATAACATAACAGTCGAGTCCACATAAGTCTATACCACAAGGGGAAGAGGAAATGTGTCACGTTATCCAATACGATGAATAAAACAAACTTGAAATAAAACCACAAAACTACAATTAGGAAAATACAGTAGCGCTTTATACAGAACATGCAATGTATCTCTCTGACCATCCATCACTGGCACCAAAGTTGGGATTTCTAGTCCAAGTACCTCAGCGATTTCTACTGCTTTTTGTTTCAGCATCAGTCCTGAAACAGGAAGATTCAATGAACTAAGTTGCTTTAGCCAATGTACCAGAGCATCTTCGCCATCTTTGTATGGCAACTTTCTCTGGCATTTTTGAGACAGCTGCAACGAAAATCCAAGAAAAAGTTTCTTAATTTCCTCTTTTTTCTTCAGGATTCCCATCAATGTTGTTCTTGGAAGGTTTTTTTTGTTTTGCAAATTCGGCTTGCAAAGTTTTCTTACATTTAAATTCAGATACAAGTTCGTATTTTTCCTTCAGCATAAGCGTTGTTAAGTTTTTGATACTCATTTTTAACATAAATGCAAAATACTTGCTGCAAATAATGCATAAATAAAAGATGAGAAAATGCAAAATCAGATTCTGCTGTGACATTAAGCTGTGTGATGGTGTAAACTCATTTTTTTTCAGGAGGGAAGTCGACTTATCAGACATCTAAATGAGTGTGGGACAGAAAAAGTATGTTGATTTATCCAGTGGTGACGAGTTAAACAGCATCGAGTAAACCAGTTTTTTTAACATTAATGCCTATGTAAGTTGGCCAGGACCACAGAAAACTGACTACTTAACCGATGGTGTCTAGTTATACCTATGATGACTTATGCGGACTCAACTGTATATATACAATAAAAATTTTCAATGTACTGTACAAACAATTTTTATTTTAGTGAATGAACTATATTTACCAACAAAAAACCAATATTAATTAAAATAAAAAAACACAAGTTGAATCTAAACCCATGTCCTTCAATAATATTTTATATGTTCCAGTAAAAAGTAAAATATATATTCTCTACATAGGTCTCAATTTTTTCTTTGACTGAAGATGTAATTTATATAGAATGGTTTACATTTTAGATGCTAAAAATTAAAAAAATTAAAAAATTCAGCCACTGAGTACATAAACTCTTCGGTTTTAAACATTCTTATACTCATGTACTTAATTATTGAATTCATGGTCATACACTTTAATAAGTTTTAATCAATAAAGTTAAGAATTCAATCAGAAAACCAGATCTTCATAGTTTAGCATACTAGAATGTTTACCTTCCTACCAAAGAATCTAAATTTAAATACCATTTGAGGATGGAATAGTTTCTGTTGAGATATTGGTTCCTTTCTTTGGGGTTAATGTATCTTTTATAAAATAAAATTAACATTTTTTCAATGCTATTTAGATATTAATAAAATCAAACATTCAACTAGTATATAAAATAAGATACTATCCTAATAAATAAGAACAAAAACAATATTCAAAATGTTTTATATTAACACTAAAAAATGTTTGAGCATAAAACTATTACAGATATAAACAAACACCCCCAATAATAATTTTACAATGAATAAAAATTGGAGATAAAATCATGTTTACAAGATTAATTTCTCTATTTATTTTGGTTTTCTCAAAACAATATATAAGCATACCCACAGAATAAGTCTCACTCAACATTTTCCACTGGAATGACTTGTCTTTAATACCCAAACTTCATAAAATATAGTCTCTCAATACATTTTTCAACCAATATTTATGTAGAAAAATTTATATTTACATCCTGAAACTCAATACATTTTAACAAGCAAGTAAAGTCTCAAGTTACAATCCAAATAAATTGGTGTAATATCAGAATCATATGTACACATTTAAAGAAGTGCATCATCTCAAATTTCTTAAAGTCTCCACTAAGTAACAGTATGTAATACAGTGAAACCTCATTGATGTAGCTTTCAGGGTATACAATTTCAGGCTATTTAAATGTGGTGGTCACCTAAGTGGGACTATGAAAAAAACTGACATACAGAACTGTAATTAGAGTACCATACAATACTGTACATCCTTTGCAATATACAGTAATTCAAACTTTCATACAGAATAATGTATTAAAACTGATTTACTAAATATTGAAATATAGAGTAAATGTACAGCAAGTCCTCGCTTAATGTTGTCAATGGTTCTTGGAAATTGCAACATTAAGCAAAATGACATACAGTATAATGAAACAACTTTTACCATATGTTAAATAACAAACAAAATATAATTTGGTTAACATTATTCTAACTGGATCATGTCTGCAACATCAGCATTTGTCTTCTGCCACATAGAATCAATTATACTGTTTATAAAGAAAATTCAACAATAATAACTGGAAATGATTACAAATCCTCAATGGCATTCTAACTAATGATTTTCTTAACAATGTTATAATAAAATGATGTTATAATGAAATGTTAATTGAGGGCTTGCTGTATAGTAAATGCAAGCTATTTGCAGTAGAGTTCATTCAAGTATGCTAGAGAACAGTGATAAACAAAATTGTTTAGTATCCATTCATGGAACCAATAAGTTTATAAAATATAGTAAAGTTTACTTTTACTATTTCATAAAGGTTTACTGATACTTTTAATCAGTAATATACATTAAAATTTGTAGATTGAAATACAAGCATGCTTTATTTTTGTCTGGGAACAAAACTAACATATATTACATTACACTGTTCAGATGGGAGGAGATAAACATGTGATAATAGGTAACACCAAGGATTTGAGAATTAGATCACAAAACATATTAGAACAATGTTTCATGTAGATATGCAATCAAGTTAAATATAAAATTATATGCTAAATAAAATTTTATAACTTTTTACTTTATCTAATTAATCATTATTGAATTTATTTCTATGTACAGTATATAATAAATTGTTTATAAGAAGTTGGAATATGACTGGGTTAACCGTGTTCTCCTCATCCTATAGTTATGTCACAGGTCTAAAGTAGATGTGTATTTTTGTTTATAGCACTGTACAAATTATTGACATTGAAAATGTATATTTTAGGCATTTTAACATGCATATATCTGGAATTTTTATGTGAATATGTATGCTCATATATTGCAATTTTAAATGCATAAACATCTGACCCTTATTAATAACAATCTGTAAATCTATTAAAAATTATTGATTAGTTTTAAATGTGTTATTAAAAAATGTACAACTAAATTAAATATCTTTCTAAACTATTCTGCTAAAAATAATTAAAACGTATATAAAATTTTTACCTTTTGTTTTAAACGATCTTTATTTAAATGCACTTTATTAATTTTTCCTTCTACTTGGTTTTGCTTTCTAGTAACATTATTCAAATTATTGACATTTTCCATTCTGTAACTTGTTTCATCATTTGATTCATTTGTTTCTAGATCTAATGTTTCAATTATTTGTTGTCTTGGTGAAATTTTTTCTGTGTCATTTCCATTTACTGAAGATTCAGACCTGATTTGATGATCACTAATTAAAGCATTGTCTTCATTGGTTGAATTTTCATTTTCACATAATTTACCATTCATTTCTTTTGATAAATCAACTCTTAATCGTTTTTCATCTGAATCTGTAGAACTTAATGTATTTTCTTCACTATTCTCATTATTACAAACTAATGGATGTTTTCTTGGCCTTCCTCTTTTGCGAACTGTTATTTTTGAGGTTTCTGTGGTTTGTTGAGTTGTAATATTTTTCTCTGGAGATTGAGCGATGCAATTTTCTGAAAAACTATTCCTAATATTGTGACTTTGATCTTGTGACTTATCATCTAAAATTTTTCTTGGCCTTCCTCTTTTGCGAACAGGTTTTGGAGTTGATGAATTTTGATCATCTGCAGATGAAATTTCTGGCGTTCCAGTTTTAGCTTCAGGCTTTTCTGTAGCTTCTTTAATTTTTCTTGGTCTACCTCTTTTGCCTTTGGGTTTATCAGACATTTTTGTTTGAAGTGTTGTAGCAACTGAATTTCCATGGCTATCGTTTGATGATGTTATATCCCTACAGCTTCTTTCTTTTTCTTCATTATCCTCATTTTGATTTTTATCATTTAATTGTTCAGATATATCAGAAATATTATTTACATAATTATCATTATCTTCACACAAAATTAAATTATAAGGATTCTCAATGTTAACATTTCTATCTTTTAAACTACTTTGTGGTAAATCAATACACCCATCTTCTGCAAAAGATACAGATTTTTGAGATTTCTTACAATTTTGCTTTAAACTATGAGAATTCTCTGGTGATTGTAACACTGAGTCATTTTTAAAAAATGAACAAAAAGAGTCAGAAGTATTATCAGGAGTTTTTTCATCATTTAATTTATCTGATGTTTGATGTACAGTTTTGTTATTCTCAATGTTAGATAGCTCATTATCAAAATTCTTTTCTGAAGCACTTTTTTCAAATGAATTATTTACATATGATGAATTATTTAAAACCTTTTCATTATCTCTCTCACTACTGTCATATTTATCTTTATTGTCTTTTTCCTGATCCTTATTTATAAAAGAATCATAGTTATTTCTTGATTGTACCCGAACTGGAGGAGAAGTATGTCTGGCGTAAGTTTTTCGAGATGCAGACCAATCACGAGATAGAGTGATCACACTGGACAGAAGAATGGCTTTGGAAGAACATTTATAGTCCTGTTTTTTACCATCTTTTGCAGAGTTTGTTGGTTTTTTATTTATAGATTTTTGTGAATAATCTTTTACAGAACTGAATGGTGGAAGTTTTTTATTACTATCACTTGGAGAATTGTGTGTTACTTCTTTTCTTTCAGTATTCCTCGGACTATATATTAAAAGTCTTTTTTCACTTGAATTCTTTCCTACTGGTTTTGTACTAGTATCTCTTTTAAGAGCATTTTCAGTTTTTTCACAGTTGAATGTATAAAAATCACTTGCATTATTTTTTGAGTTAGAATTTCCTGGCAAATCATTTGGTTTGGCATGTGTTTCATTTTCTTTTTTTACACTACTAGCTTCTTGATTTTTGTCAAGCACTAGTATTTCATTAAACTGTTTTAATGAATTTTCAGCAGCTGTTTTATTTTCTGTATTTCTCTTTCGACTATAAGTTTTTGATGGTATGGAAGAAATTTTGTTACAGCTACCAATGGTATCCATCTTTTCTGAATCTCAAACATGAAGTCTAATCTCCTAAATAAAAGAAAAAATTATAAAATGAGTCTGTAGATTTCAATACTGATATCAAATGAATAATGAAATACAATTAAACAAAATAAAAATATCTTGGAATATATATATATGTATACAGATTAATCATTTCTATAAATACATTTATACTAAAAAGTAAATCATATTCTAAAAACAAACTACATTATATAATAAATACAACCAACCTGATAATTATTTTAAATATCAAGTCAATTACTTTATCAGGCTATTAAGGATAAATAATTACTAAGTAATTTGTCAAGAAATGGGCAGTTAGGTCATCATCTCTTGTTAAATTTAATAATTATAAATAAATAATTTAATTTTAGAATATTCTGGAAGTTTTCTTCCAGAATATTCTAAAATTAAATTATTTATTCTGGAAGTTTTCTTCCAGAAAACTTCCAGAATATTCACAGGGCAGGACTTAAATCCACAACTCCTACTTACCATGCAGATCTTTTCTTCCAGAATATTCTGAAGTTAAATTTAATTAATTAATTTATTTATAACTATAAACTTTAAGAAGAGATGGAAGACTAACTACGTTCTCTTGCCAAATTATGTAATAAATATTTAGTCTTAATAGCCTAATAAAGGAATCCAGCTGTTTGTTTGATATTTGAAACTCCTGTACATTATGTATTAAAACAGCGATTCCCAACCTGTGGTACGCGTACCCCTAGGGGTACGCGATAGGTTGTTTAGGGGTACAGAAAAAAGTTAGTTATTATGGCAGAAAAAATAATATATTATGTATCACAAACTAATAGTATTAAAAAATTATTAGATAAAAAATGTTCCTTGCAACAATCACAACTTTATTATACATTTTTTCTTTTAGTTTTTTTTTTCTTTAATTTAAAGTTACAATGTGTAAAATTAACAATACGGTTACTCACTAAATTTCTTAAATGAGGGGCACAATCTACAGATATGACATGTCACGGGGTACAATCTAGAGATATGGCATGTCACGGGGTACGCTAATGAAAAAAGGTTGGGAATCATTGTATTAAAAGGTCAATCAATTTCAATTTTAAGCAATGTTGATTTAATATTCAAATATATGTTTTAGTCATTATTATTCTCTATTAATTAAAAGCTTTTATGAAAGAATTAATGGTCTCCATTACAGATTCAATTATTTGCAGAGAAAACTCAATGAGTTCATTGTCAACAATGTCCTAATGCTGGTTAGTCTTTTTGAGTTCTATAAAAACTTAACCTGATGCCAAACATCAGAAATCAGTCAGTTTTAAAAGATTTTGGCAGTTAAATACTGAATATGAATTAAATAAATACTTACAAATGAAACAAATATTTAAAGCTATATGTAAAGCTAAGAAAAGAAAGTACTTTTGTACTTTCTCATTACAGTTGGTCAAAACTAGAGTCTCCTGATCTTTCTGAGATCAATTAAATAGATTTCGTTAACAGATGTCTTTGAGGAATGAGGTCTCACTATACAAATGATATATTTTTTATTGAAATTTATACACTAGTGCAGGGATGGCAAACCTTTTTGTGTTCGCATGCTATATTGTAAGCATACTTAGCTTTAAAGATGTTTATGCGTGCCAAAGTTTCAGACTTTGAATAACAATATTTAAAGAAATTAAACGAATACGCTTTAATTAGAATAAATGTAAAAAAGCTGATTGAAAAAAGGATGATCAGGTGATAAATGGAAAAGATGATTGAAAAAGACAGAAATCATATGATACATTATGTGCCAGATGATTTCTCCTTACGTGCCACTTTGGGCATGCGTGCCATTGGTTCACCACCCCTGCACTAGTGGAATCTTAGGCCTTACATTTCACTTTTTCTAGAGCTTCAAAACCTGCATTCAGACCTGTTATTGAACTCGCCAATCTCCAATGAAGAGTTAACAATAGTAATATATAAGTTGAAAATAAATTCTGCATCAGGATTGATAACTTATGTCCATCTATTATAAAATATGCAGGTCCACATATGTATCAGTTTTTACTTTTATTATTTAATGAAATATTAGATTCCAATAGATTCCATCAGATATAAAGTTGATAAAATTTAAAATGATTTAAAAAAAAAATGATAAAAACAATCCATCTAATTATTGACCCATAGCTCTTCTCTCTATACATCGTAAACTATTTACCAAGATTTTGGCCAATCATCTGAACAAATGGTTACTGATGCACAATTTAATGAGCCCACATCAGTTTGGATTTTGTGAAAGATGAAATACCATTTTGAATATTTTTATATTGTATACTTCAATAAAAATGCAACTGAGTGTTAAGCGTCAACATGTAATTGATTACAGTAGACCCCCCCTATAACGCTTAGATACGTTCCACGCTAACCGAAAATTACGTTGTAGGAATGATTAAATACGTGAGCCAATCGCAGCCCGATAGGTGGGAACTTTACGGACTAAGGCTGTACGAAAGGTTTTCTACTATAAAATTAACCGATTCTAGACTAATTCCACTCAACATTTCCAAAATACGTATAATTTTTTGGGAATAATCTGTATAAACTATGCTATAAACAAAAAATTGTAGGATTACTTAACCGTTCGACTACGCCGTTGCTTAAAGCTGGTTTTCATCGCGGAACAACACGGCTACCGCGATTTCTAATTACGAATTTTTCGCATAAAAATAACTTGACCTTTGGAGACATCATTAATATAAATAATTTTTATGGCCGTTGAATAAGAAGTGTTTCTTTCACAAGAAATGTATAAAATTAGT